GTTAAAGCTGTTTGTCTGGCAGTAACTCCACTGTTTAGGAATCTGGTACAATCTTCTCTACAAATACATGTACATATAAAAAAAAGTCAAACTTTCCAGCTAGACATAATTTGAATTCAATCTTATAGTGCATATTACTTTAACATTACAAGTTTTAGCCATGTATACAAGATTTTGGATATAACATTATTTTACATATTTAACAGAGATCTTTTTCTCTTTCATTTTGTTCTTTATTCCTTGCCAGTCATATTTCTACTTACCCTGTACATTTTGGAAGATTCCACTTTTCCACATAATTTTGATTCCACCCTCTCTTTATACCAAGTAGCCTCCTGCAAAATAGGATTAAAATTACATTATCAATTAAAGGGACAAAAGAAAAGTTTGGACACACCCAAAAATCTTAAGCCATTGACAGGAATGGGGACACATTGATACTGCCCTTAACAGTACAGTTATCTTAACTTATCTTAATGCCAGTTAATATATAATCATTTTTTAATTTTCATTGTGCATTTCTTTTTAAACAGGCAAAACTAGAGAGGTTTTTAACTGTTTGTCATTAAACTCATCTTCCTCAGCTTTACCTTGGGTGTGACATTGCCGACCACTAAGACGTCGGCTTTTATACTCTGTCTGAACTCAGTCAGGAAGTGTCGAAGATCCTCATTGGTCAGACTGTCAATTACACTGTATATTTCAGGGGCGGGCCTATAGTGGGGGTCTATCACAGAAAATCGAAGGATTCTGTAAGGAAAAATCATCAAACATGAATGAACGTTACAGTAATAACAATTTTATTTGTCCATTCATGGTGTGAAATGGGCAGAAACACTTTATTAACTGTATTAAATGAATGTTTAATATTTCTTAATAATGGGTTTTAAGAGACTAAAATTCAAGTATTTAACTGGCAATTCAAATAAATATCTAAAAAGCTTGTCAGTTCAGATTCAATCTAATTAAAATTAGATGTTAGATCCGTTCGCATACTCACTACACTAACATCTATAACAACATCCCATAGAGGGTCACGTCAGAGGTCAATATCGGAACCGCTCTAGACTTATTCGCTTCACCAATATTCGATGATATTGCAGGTGACGAATTGATTGGTTGATAGAATTTGACCTCTGATGTGACCCTCAATGGGATGTTGTTAGATGTTAGTGTAGTGAGTACGTGAGCAGATCTAACATCTAATTCTAATTAGATTGGTTCAGATTGATCTGAAGTTCATCAAAATTCACATGACTGTCTGTCTAATATCTAATATCAAGGAATGGCTAAAATGTTATGATATCTCAAGGAACCAACAGTGAATGAACTTAGATATCCTTGCCTGACAAGCTCAGCTGGTTTGATGATGGCATTAAAAATCTCCCTCTTCACTTTATTTCTCATGATTGTAAAACAACTCATCATTGCATGCATAGTCAAATACAGCTGTCAAAAGTAGATCAAACAGCGCCTACAAATCAACAATAACAAAGCAATACAGTTTCAATGATAAAGAAGTATCATACATAATTTTAAACATATTTTCTTATATGGGCCTCCATTCAACAATGCTTGTAAAAAGAAAAGATTTTTTTGTGAACAGTTTGATAAGAATTCTTACAGGCAACTTCTGGTTGAATCCATTCACTTTGAATTTAAGACCTGTATCATCCACATTGATTGAGTAGCTGAAAATTTAAACAATTTTAATCAGGAAAAGAATTAGTCTACCATAATACACATATAAATGTTTTATGACAATGGATGTAGAACTGGAACAAATTTTCAAGATCAGAATCAGGAGATAACTTACTCAAAGCCAGCCATGATAGCAGGGTATGTAGGGGCATCCAATTTATGGTTCATCACAGCCTCAAATATTTTCAGCAGACCTTGACTACAAAATACCATTAATACAATTACTCATCATACTTGTCTACAGGGATTAATCTAGGTTTTTGAGGTAACTACCCTTTCTTGAGAAATTGGGAAAATCAGCCGGGGTCTGGTAATTTCCACTCAAGTGAGTGCAAGGCAAGCCCTGCTTGGGCGACAATTGAATTTCAGTATTTTTATGACCATTTAAAGCGCCTAAAGTAACAAAGTAAAACCATATTTATCATATACTGAAAAATTTTACTTTAAATTTTCAGTTTTTATAAAGGAAAAAAAATTTTTTGAGTTTTTTATTTTTATAAGGGGAATATTTTTCTCATTAAGAGGGGAAAATTAGATCTTAGGGGGAAATTTTCTCTGGGGGAAAAACACCAAATATCGGTAGTAAATATGCCCTAGATTAATCCCTGGTCTATATGTACAGTATGTAAAGTATTAAAAAAAATAAGGGTATTCTTAACTCTTCACTGATTGGTTTGCCACTGGTGACATCAACTGAACATACACATAAGCTATTATAACCTCTTCATTGATTGGCAAGTTACTAGTGACATCAACTGAAAGCACAGATAAGTTATTCTTACCTCCTCACCGATTGGCTGGCTATAGGTGACATCAACTGAACACACACATAAGCTACAAAAAAAAAATTCAACTGTAAGCAATGAAACTTAAGCCATCATTATACAAATGTAGTAAAAGATATTTCTAAAAGATATTGAAATTGGTTAATTTATTAGAAGTTGTAGAACCCTACATAAATAGTATTGTGATGCATTATCTGATTATATCTCTGTTTTAGGAGTGAACCATTTACCTTTTGGCACTTTGAATTTCATATCCTTCTTGTAGTACAATGTACACAACTCATTTTCTGAGAGAGTGATAGGATGCTGAATTGAGAAAACCTTCCAATTATATAATATATACATGTACATTGTACAAGAATAATCACACATATTAATTTGAATCAACAGCTTATTCTAAAATTAAAAAATAAAATAAGACATGAAACAAGTCCCACCTTTGTACAATACTTTGCTTCCACTTCTGCTATTGTGAAATCTGTAGCTGTAAAACAGAATGAATAAATTAACACACACATGAATATACAAGATATTGAATGCGACAGTGTATTCTTTAGTAAGCTGATATCCAAGTCTCGATGAATTCCAATTCTAATTTTAAATACTGAGAATAACACGATTTACATTATAACCTCATCATTACATATTACATATATACCTATTGATTTGTTTGGTTTTGGTAAGCAAAGATCTGGATTTTTAGGTGGGTCTGAAAGGAAATGCATTCAAGATTTAGTCTGAAGTCTTGCCTTAAGTGAACAAAAATTTATGGCTCATTACTTAATGAAACCAAAGTCTAACAGATTTCAATAAAAATTCATTTCTTTTGTTTCTATGTTGTCTGATGGTTTTATGAAATTAGTAAACAGTGCATTCAATTTCATACTCTGAAATACCACCTTGCCATCTTTGAATCCACTCAGGTTTGATTTCTGCCACTCCATACTTCACAGGACTCCATTTGATATCCTGTCTGTCACATTTATCTGACAATTGTTTGGATGACAGGAAAATACAACAGTTGTCTGCCCTTAGATCTGCCAGACACTTCACAATCAGCTGAAATTTAAAAAAAAAAACTGTCAATAATGAATTCTTTAAATCATTTACTGAATTTCATCAAGTTATCCGTATATTTATTTACTATACATGTACGTACCTCTGGGTCATATTCATACATTAAATCTCTGCCAGTTAAAACATCTTCTGGGGTAAATATCTGCATGTTTTCTGAAACTTTCTCCACATAATCCATTGCATCTCCCTAAATCATAATAAAAATATTTTCATCCCAAAAATCTGAGTTAAATGGGAAATATTTGTATTCCTGAAGAGACCTCAAGTACTGCAAACAATTTTTTTTACAAAACTAAAACACTTACCTTTTCTTTACTTCATACATCTGTTTTAGATTGAATTGACAACAACATGTAATTTTTTGTTTTCCTGGTTAATACTTTTCCTTTTTTCTTTTATTATGCATCTTTCATTACCTGCAACACCTGTCTGTTCATTACCTACTGTTTCTTTTCTTAATTAAAACACCTGCCTTTTCTTTAAATCTAGATTTGGTTTCCTCCACTATCTTCATCTCATCAAAGTACTGTTTCTGTGGTCCTTTGTTCTTCAGTAAGTGTACGTACTGGAAAACTGCCAGTAGAAATTCCTCAAACTGTTCAAGTCCGCGGTCAGTAAGGGTCAGGTTCACCACAAACTGGGTGGCAGTAGTGTTCAGTTCAAATCCATTGTAGCTGTGACCACTCTCCACTGCTGTAGCAAAATATCTACAAAATACCAAAATAAACACTCAATCTTTACTTAAAAAACATCTGAAAAAATCAAACAATCAAAAAAAAAATGTCCATTTTTGTCAAAGTAGATGTTCTCTCATGTGGGGCAGTAGTTAGAGCATGTGCTGTCTGCTTTATAATCCACAGTAAGGAGTTGATCGTGACATTATTGGTTCGAATCCTAATGTGGGATATGGCAACAGTCCTTCAGATGAGACCGTATAAACAAAGGTCTTGTGTCTCACAAGGTACTGCCACAGTAAAATCCCTTATTGCTCATTATGGACTCAGTACATGTCAAAATTTGTATCCCTCTGCCAGCAAGTGGTGGCATCTCCATATTGGTGAAAAATTCTCAAGAGGGACTTTAAACAACGAATAATCAATCGAAAGTCAATTTTTATTTACTGGTTTGAAAATTTCAACTACTTTTAGCTTCTGGGATGTATGAATAATTTTATTAACTTAAACTCAGTGTAGTTATGGCTTATGAAAAATGTTAATGACTTCCCTGAAGTTACTGGGATAGAAGTCACAAAAAACAATGCTTCATTTAGACTGAAATGGTTACCAACTCGAATTTATACATTTGGGTATTTACAATCAGATACTTTAATAAATTACAAGGCATTCCTTAATTATGTATTGTTTATAGCCTTGTATTTGTGATTAATAAGCGACATGGTATCATGTTCCTCTGTAAATATTTTCGTCTGTGATTCCTCTTTCTTTCTGTCAACACAGACATTTAAATCTAAATTTATCGACAACCAGGAAGTAAATTACAGCCTCGCTTTAAATTCACAGGTGTAAATTCATTCAAAATGGCTGATCACTAAAGTCACCTTGGAGATAAACAGTAAGTTAAATCATTGTAATGCTTTCATTAATATGAAAGAGTTTTTATGAACTGAGAGTCTTTATTTGTTGCAAGTTTAAACTAGGTTGACCCATTTCAATACTTATAACAAAATCACAGTATGCTTCTTGAACATGAATCCTCTTTAAAATACTTTTACTGTGCTATGCTTTCAATGATAGAAAATTCACTGGAAAATCCCAATAGCAATCTCAAAGTATTACAAACTAGTTAATTCAGATAATTTGTGTCCCCCTCTTAAGAAAAAAGTAAAAACATGCGCAGTTTGGGGGAGGGGGGAGAGTCTGATCCCCCTCACAGAATTTGTAGAATTATTAAATGTATTCATGCATGTATACTGAAGCAAATAAAATATACCATTACATTGCTTATTCTTTATTATGTGTATTCTTTATTATTATGAATAGAAGATTCTTTTAATATGAAATATTTATGTAATGATGACTTTATGACTTTGTACAAGCCAGACCCCGTAAATTTTTCATTTTGCATGCTGAATACTATCATAAAGTAAAACAAGAGGCCCATGGGCCACATCGCTCACCTGAGCACTAAGGGAAGAAAAAAAGTAGAAAATGGCTTTTTATTGTAAAGTTTAAATCCAAAAGTAATCCCATGACCAATCATGGATTTGTTATTTTTTAGAAAATGTTTTTTTTAAAGACTTTTCCTATATATATTTTTAAAAACTTTGGTCGGCCATTTTGGCCCCGCCCTACCCATGAGGTCATATGATTTGAACAACTTTGAATCATGAATCATTTGAATTATGGTGTTGTCATTCTTGAGAAGAAGATTTTTAAAGAATTTTCCTATATATTTCTATGTAAAACTTTGGTCGGCCATTTTGGCCCCGCCCTACCCCCAGGGGTCATGATTTGAACAAACTTGAATCAACACTACCTGAGGATGCTTCCATATAAATATGATCAATTATGGCTTTGTCATTCTTGAGAAGAAGATTTAAAAAAAAAATTTCTATATATTTCTATGTAAAACTTTGGTCGGCCAGTTTGACCCCCCCCCTAAGCCCGAGGTGATGATTTGAACAAACTTGAATCTACACTACCTGAGCATGCTTCCATATAAATAAGATGAATTATGGCTTTGTCATTCTTGAGAAGAAGATTTTTAAAGAATTTTCCTATATATTTCTATGTAAAACTTTGGTCGGCCATTTTGGCCCCGCCCTACCCCCGGGGGTCATGATTTGAACAAACTTGAATCCACACTACCTGAGCATGCTTCCATATAAATATGATGAATTATGGCTTTGTCATTCTTGAGAAGAAGATTTTTAAAGAATTTTCCTATATATTTCTATGTAAAACTTTGGTCAGCCATTTTGGCCCAGCCCTACCCCCGGGGGTCATGATTTGAACAAACTTGAATCTACACTACCTGAGCGTGCTTCCATATAAATATGATGAATTATGGCTTTGTCATTCTTGAGAAGAAGATTTTTAAAGAATTTTCCTATATATTTCTATGTAAAACTTTGGTCGGCCATTTTGGCCCCGCCCTACCCCCTGAGGTCATGATTTGAACAAACTTGAATCTACACTACCTGAGCATGCTTCCATATAAATATGATGAATTATGGCTTTGTCATTCTTGAGAAGAAGATTTTTAAAGAATTTTCCTATATATTTCTATGTAAAACTTTGGTCCGCCATTTTGGCCCCGCCCTACCCCCTGAGGTCATGATTTGAACAAACTTGAATCTACACTACCTTAGCATGCTTCCATATAAATATGATGAATTGTGGCTTTGTCATTCTAGAGAAGAAGATTTTTAAAAAAATTTTCCTATATATTTCTATGTAAAACTTTGGTCGGCCATTTCGGCCCTGCCCTACCCCCGGGGGTCATGATTTGAACAAACTTGAATTTACACCACCTGAACATGCTTCCATATAAATATGATGAATTATGGCTTTGTCATTCTTGAGAAGAAGATTTTTAAAGAATTTTCCTATATATTTCTATGTAAAACTTTGGTCGGCCATTTTGGCCCCGCCCTACCCCTAGGGGTCATGATTTGAACAAACTTGAATCTACACTACCTGAGCATGCTTTCATATAAATATGATGAATTATGGCTTTCTCATTCTTGAGAAGAAGATTTTTAAAAAAAATTCCTATATATTTCTATATAAAACTTTGGTCGGCCATTTTGGCCCCATCCTACCCCCGGGGGTCATGATTTGAACAAACTTGAATCTACACTACCTGAGGATGTTTCCCCATAAGTTTCATCTTTCCTGACACTGTGGTTCTTGAGAAGAAGATTTTTAAAATATGCCACCAAATTTTCATGAATTCCCAATTATCTCCCCTTGAATAAGGGCGTGGCCCTTCATTTGAACAAACTTGAATTCCCTTCACCCAAGGACACTTTTTGGCAAGTTTGGTTGAAATTGGCCCAGCGGTTCTTGAGAAGAAGTCGAAAATGTGAAAAGTTTACAGACAGACGGACAGACGGACAGACAGACAGACGGACGCCGGACAAAATGTGATCAGAAAAGCTCACTTGAGCTTTCAGCTCAGGTGAGCTAAAAAAAAGTATTTCTAAAAAAAAAAAATAATGGTCCGTCCGGCTTGAACTCGGGACCTCTCATATGGGAATCGAGAAGCATACCACTAGACCACGGAATCCCTTTATATAAAATCAAGTTTATGCAGAAGTGAAGTCACATACATGTATATATTTATGTTGACTTCGGTGTTGTCAAAATTTTACACAATCCATGGTGTTTAATTTATTAAAGCCTTTATTGAACAGTTCTAATAGATGTAATAAGAACATAAAGTCTGCCGAGAACCTGTTTTATACACAATAACTCTCCTCATGCCCCTGTGCTAAAAAAAGCGACATGTAATACTATAAATACAAATACAACAAACAGGGCTGGGCACTTTGGGAGGGGTGAGAGAGGCCCTTGGGAGTTTTGGTCTAAAATTACATTGCATAAGCTCAAAATCTTGAAATATCGCCTTGAAATGATAGTGTTACACAGACAGAATGTATAAATTTATGACCTTGAACTTTGACCTTTTGACCTCAAAATCAATAGGGGTCTTCATAAGGCCACAAGGAGTTGTTGTGTTAAATTTCATTGCAAAAGCTCAAATGGTTCTAGAGATATCCTGTGGAAATTAAAGTGTTATAACAGATAGAATTTGCTTGTTTATGACCTTAACCGTTGACATTTTGATCAAAAGGGTTATTCTTTAGTCCATAGGGAGTTGCTATACTAAATTTCATTGCAAAAGCCCAAAGGGTTCTCAAGATATTGTGTGGAAACGAAAGCGTTACAGACAGAAAGACGGATGGACAAACCCTAATTAATGTCCCCCACTTTATAAGCGGGGTACAAAAAGAAACAATTACTGTATTTGAATATATTCTTCCTTCAGCATTAATTTTTCAAAGAGATAATACTAAAACACTCTTTCAGATGGCTCTATCGAAAGCACAAATACCAGGTACACCTCAACACTTTTTAGAGTGTGGTATTGAAGACTGTGAGAGAAACTGTGAATTCTACTGCAATGTTTGTCACACTAGATTATGCAAACAATGCAGGGATGAACATCAAAGAAGTCTAGAGACAAAAAGCCATGAAATAGTGCTATATCAACAACGGAAACGGCAACTACCCACAGAAAAATGCAAGATCCACCCCACCAAGTTAATAGAACTTCTTTGTGATGAATGTAAAATACTGATTTGTTCCAAATGCACTGCCACATCAGCACACAGAGGTCACACATTCACTGATCTGGAATCAATTTATACAGAGAAGTTTTCCCATTGTCAAGAAGAAATTGCAAAAATTCATGAGTATTTCCTGCCAACATCACAAGACATACAGAGAGAAATAAAGGAAGACGCCACAGAAATCAAGAAGGCAATGGACAACATAAGAACCTCCATGAAGGCTGAAGCAGACTCCCTTAAAACTCTGGTGGACTCAGTAACTACTGAAAATATGGAAGAGGTGAACAAAATAGAGCAGTCATTACTGGAAAAATTAAATAATCAAGAAACAACAATAGAAAAGTATACTACCTATCTCAATGACCTGGATAGAAAGTTCCATGTTTATTTGTCCTCTTTGAAGCCTTCAAAACTTTTCACTGCAGAGGACATACAAATCCAACCCATACCAGTGACAACAAAACCAGTGATGCCTGTATTTACTGCTGGAAAGTACAGAATAGAGGATATTGCCAAACTACTGGGGAAAGTAACTTCTCCAAACATAAAAGAAGAGGTAAGAAAAGTACAGCCTCTTAGATCAAAAACTCAAAAATCAAATCAGAAATCAACAACCTATCAAGTAATGAAAGACAGTAAATCAACATCTAATGTGAAACAAAAACTGTTTATATCTTCCTCTGTCACTGAGGTCAGGGAGTTCACAGTACCAGGTGTTGACAGAGTGTACCATATGTCACTAGATCAGTCAGGCAGACTCTGGGTCAGTGATCATATTGGTAACCTTGTCCAAACAGATCTACAGGGGAATCAGTTACAGAAGATACAAACAGGAGGTGGACGAGGTTACCACACAGTGGCACAGGAGGGGGATCTGATCTTTACAAACATGTACAAGAACGTCATCAATAGGATAACACTGGATAACAATATCACTGAATTCATTAAAACAGGAGACTGGGAACCAATCAGCATACACTCCTCCCACATCAATGGGGACTTACTGGTGGGGATGGAGAAGGGTGTAGAGGCTAAAATCACCAGGTATAACAAGACAGGGAAAGAAATACAGAACATACAGAGGGATAACAAAGGACGGGAACTGTATAGTTCACCATACTATATAACAGAAAATATCAATGGAGATATATGTACATTAGACTTAGATGAAGCAACAGTAGTGGTGGTGAATAAATCTGGACAACACAGATTCTCCTACACAGGTCAGGAGTCAGGAGGGTTCCATCCCTGTGGTGGAATCTGTACTGATGTCCTTGGTCACATACTGGTGTGTGATGGTGTCAATATTCACCTCCTTGATAAGGATGGTCAATTCTTATCTCTACTACTCACACCAAAACAAGTATCTGATCCCATTAGTGTATGTGTGGATGATGAGAACAATCTTTACGTGGGACAAGGAAGCAATACAATCAAAGTCATTAAATATCTGGAATAGGATTTTTATTATCTAAATGACTGCAAAGCAAAACTATGACAAAAGTCTATAAGTATAAGGTAAAAGGTTATACATTATTATCGTCATATAAATGAGATTTCTTCTCATAAATATGAAATAATTAACTTGTAAGAACGAGAAAATAATCTCAATATATCTCTCAAAAATCTTTAAAAACTTGTTTTCGGGTAAATCATGCATTAATGTCAGATCGTAAAATCGCATCAACATGACACATGATACACGAGTCAAATATTATTCAATTTGCATGAACAAATTAGAGTGCACGCACGAAAACCTTGTCAACCTAGTAACAAAGATTCCTTCCATCTAAGTGTTTGAATGTACCCCACCTATGCTGTAGTAAATAATGAGAACATATATAATCCAAAATACTGTAGATTGGCAACTAATCCTGATGGTTTATATTTCACTATTTTCGTGTTTGATCACTTTTTCGCGAAATTAAACCCATCTCGAATGCTAATATTTGTTTAATAAAGTGTTTTGATGCTTATACGAACTTTGAATTGATTTCTTGGGGGTGTGAATTGAATCAAAACGATTGCGATTGCATGGTACCTGATTGTGTTAGAGTTTTTAAAATGCCAATTGCTGTCTTGTAAATTATATTTATAAAAATTCTAAGACCTAATAAAGCTTCAAAACACTTATCATATATTTTTTTAATTTTTGATTGTAAAACTGTTCTTTTATTGAGACAGAATTTGAAATGTATTGTAGGGATATTTTAAAAGATCAATGAATCATATTATGGAATGTCAAATTAATTTCTTCACTTTAATTAGTTTTGAACGTAATGACTACCCAAATTGGAATGTTGACATATGATATCAATTGCAATTGAGAGGCCAGATTCCTGTTTAATCTGAAATGCTTTTCCAGAAATCGATCACTAAACTCATCAATTAATATACATGATATACAATTAGACAGATGCTACATGTATGACCAGAAATTCACTGTTAAAAATTGTTATTGAAAGATGAAAACAGAAAACAACAAGTCACCTGTATAAACTCAAGTGACCTAAAAAGATAAATTAACTAAGAAATTTGATAAAAACTTCAAACAATTAATGTAAATCTGTGAACAATATGGCATAAACATAAGCCCTTACTGTAAATTCTAGAGAAAGGATCAAGTGCTAAGGAGGAGTACTGGGGAATCCTTTTTATTTGTGGGGGTCAATGCTTATGGTTAGCATTGTTGGGATGTTATTTTGTGACTGGATTGTATTTAGCATATTCAGCAAATAAATACATGTGTATATATAAATTAATTGTTTGTGTGGATATGGGTAAAACTAGAAATCCACGATCATTGGTATTCAACAAGTCAGCTAAAGAATGACTTAATCATAGATTTATTTGCTAATACGGTCATTATAACGACCAAAGAAGCCACAGCATGCTAAATTTAACCAAGGTATTTGAAATCCAAATAACATCAACTTATCAGTGAATAGCCTGCCTAGGTTTAAAAATTGATCATGCTCAAAGCATGCTCTTAAAAAGTAAATAATTGACATTACCATATTTATTTTTTCTCGATTATTTCCCATAGTAAGGGGGATTAAGTCCTTCATAACACAATTTAAACTCCCCTTCATCCAAGAATGCTATTCACCACTTTTGGTTAAAATTGGACCAGTGTTTCTTGTGAAGAAAAGATTAAGTTTCCGAGGAACAGACAGGTGAATAGATGGACAATGGGTAATCAGAAATGCTCACTTGAGATACCAGCTGAAGAAAAAATATTTTTACATAATAAAAACTAGTTTATAGCATACAGCTTTCTTAAATATGGAAAATAGAATCAGGATGCTCATGAATTTTGCCATGTTTATCTATTATTTTCTGTCCAAAAATATATATTTTACTTACCACCTTCCAAAAATTAGCTTATCCCTAAATACGAGAGGGATTCCAAAAGCTTCTAGTGGAAATACTGAGAGCTGATTCCAGATACAAGGTACATAATATGGTGCAGAGGCATTTTATAGATAAATCTTGAACCTCAAGGTTTACTATTCTACCAGATATACTGTGATCCAAAGAATACAATATAAACAGTACGACATTTAACTCCGAACACGACATAGTCCAGACTTTTTACTACCATTTTTAACTATGATATCAATAATATGTTTATATTACTTGGTCGGATAAATCAAACGGATATTGACAATGGATTTTTTCACCAATACATTGGTATTGTATGAATATATTCTATTATCCTGACGAGATATTTGTAATTGTCATAATTTATGAGATGTTTTCCATGTTTCGCAATAAATGGGAAGTTTAATTCAATTGTCAATATTCGTGGGATTTATCCAATTTGACCAAATTTGTGGGAGAAAAAAATCCAACAGGAGAAAATATCCCATCTGACATTTTTTCTCCCATGGGAGAATGGTGGGATAGCTGGTGGGACTGAAAATCCCACCTTTCTCCGATAGGATTCCGAGTTTAAGGACTTCATATCTTTAGAATAGGGGGTGTTTGTGAGTTCAACACGAGACCCTGGAATACTGCTAAGAAATCCCACCAAGTGATAAACACATGTACCGGTAAAAATATTTTGGATATCATAATTAGAAATGGTAGTAAAAAGTTTGGACTATGTCGTGTCCAGAGTTAAATGTCATACTGTTTATATTTGTTCATTTTGAAGGTAAAAAATAGAAAGCATATATGAATAAACAATAAAATTTAACAATTAATAATATCTACATCGCATTTTAATATATCAGTATTTTTTTCATAATGAAATTTTAAATCAACCTGAATACCTACTTTCTTTTTCCCCCTTGGAACCTGTTTTCCACATTCTTCTTCCTCCTCCATTTCTTCCTCATGATGACCTTCCTCCTCCTCTTTGATTCCATTTCGTTCCTCAACCACATCATCCAAGGTTGCCTCTTCCATCTTTATCCACGCCATCCAATACATTTGAGATTTTTTTTACCTCATGGCAAGTTTGATGGCCAGATGCAAATGAAAATATTTGTTTCTGATATTAACAATTGACATTAACATGGTACAACAAATATTTCCTGTACTGTGACTGGATATTAAAAGGTTGCGACAAAGTTCATTATATGATTATGCTTCATTTACTTGCATTGGTCAGTATTTTAATGAGCTGCAAGAAGTTCTCTTCTCAGTCAACCATGGCCAGAATAAGAGGATCGTATATTGGTTTGCTATGCTGACATACCATATAATTTAAAAACATATCATTGTATATCTTCCCATTAGTATTTAGCTGAATTTTAAAGACAATTCTGATCGTTTCGTGGACTTGACCTGAATTACCTATGACTTTAACTTCAATATCTTAAAAATGTACAGAAAGGTCATTCTGAAAATGAGACAGAAATATGACTTTCTGGTTGTTATACATAATAGCATATCTACTTCTTCTGTAGACGTTGTACTTCCCAATTGTTCTTCATTTTGAGTTTTTAATTTTTCTGTGACTCAAAATTGATTAAGAAAAAAAACATTAACAGAAATATTTTATTAATTCTATCCAATTTGAAAATGATAAAGCACATGTGCACACTGCATCAAAGATGTACTTCTGACACACGCTCTATAAACTTGGCTTCGTTATTTGTATTAGGTACTCAACATTTCCCAATCCCTATATAAAAGCTGTTTGGTAAATAATAAAAGTTAATCATTCAGTTCATTTCTATATGATACATCTTTATACATGTATCTCATATCTTTATACCATTATGTATTAAAAAAATTTGATGTTGAAATAGCGAATCGAAATAGCATCTGCTGGTAATTAAATGAGTGTCCTTCCTTCAACATGATAGTATCTTTTGTTTATACATGTTAAAATATTAAAATCATTAAAATATATTAAACAACCCCTCACTTTTACATGCCTAAATGCAGCCTACATCAGTTTGTGATACAGTGGTAGTCAAACATTGTCAGTTTAGATCTGAGCTGCTGTATATCACTGATACACTGATGGTCAGGGTAGTTACAGTCTTTGACAGGTCTCACAACATAGCTCTGTTCTCTGTCACGTTTGTCTGTGTTAGCTTTCTTCTGGGGAGGTTCCACTTCATCACCCTTTCCATCTACCTGCTCCACTTCTGGGTTTCCAAGAACCTGGAGCATGAATAACAGATTAAAATCAAATGTGAAACATCAAGACTTTTTTAAGAACTTGAACACATTTTTGGTTGAGGGGGAAATATATAAATAAACAGCAACAAGTTTAAATCTGAAATCACTAAGCTTAACACATAGAAATCTCTAATTTGAATGTATATTTAGTAGAGGGTTTTTAGAATGTGACAGGAAATTGTGAGATTTTTTTTTACCTGAAAGCTTATCCTTTTCTGATTTTCTCCCAGATACTGTTTGTACCAGTTCCGCAGGTCTTCTAGTGTTAACGTCCTCAGTATAGCTACCTACAGTAAAAGCAAATCAAAGCGTATGAACATTCATACAGGTCAGAATACCTACAAAAAATATTTTGATAGCACTTCAGACTTTAAATGTCTAATTAAATTTTAGGAAAACATACATAAAATTGACCTTTATAATTATCTGTTTTACAATACCGACCTCTTTTTCTAGTCTGTCAAACACGTAGTTTTGTTCCTTACACTCCCCCCAGTATCTGTTGACTTCCTCCTCTAACTGAGTGTCCTCTGTAAGCTTGGCTGCTATCAGAGACTCCACCTTAAATATAACACAGGGACTTAGGACAAGGACAACAAAGGTCTTAAATGTCCCACAGGGATTAGGACCAAACCAAAAAGGTAGTGAGATTGCTCAAACAACAGAATTTAATTTGTGCTTTATTACTTTATTGCATTTACCAATGTATCAAACTCCTCTTTGGACATTTCATCCAACATCTCTTTGAACTTGTTCAGGAAATCCTCAATATGGTTGTCAACCTCATGCATCCTACAAATATTATAAGAATGTAGTTTATCAATTCTTTTAAAAATACGTCATAAAAATTCATTTTACTGTGGTATCAATCAAAATTAATGAAAAATACTGTATATATTCGCCTATAAGTCGTTTTTTTGGGAGTTAATCTCTGGTCTAAAACTCCTTGTTCAACTTATAGGTGAGCTATTAAAAGTATGGTTTCATATGAGGTCAGTCCATCTGATATACAAGCTTTTTAAATACCACCGACTTATAGGCGGACCGACTTATGGGCGAGTATATACGGAACTCTTTATAAAAAAAACCTTGGCACTATATGATTGTTTTGAATCAGTAACTATTTTACATTAATATTTATTTGCAGTGGGATAGATTTAAACTAAAGTCTGGTATACACAAATAATAAATCTTACGTGAACTTCTGGGCTTGGAACTGGACTGTTACAGCGAGTCCCATGATGCCATTGGTTACCAGGTTCTGACAGTATACAGTATATCCCAGCTGTAGTTGTGTCCTCAGCACATCAAAACACGGCTCCTGCATTCTTAACTATACAAAAGAAATACTGTTTTTTTTTACATGTGGAGTGTAAAACACGAGGGATTCCCATGTATATCGATGTCAGAAAACATGGCAAAAGACATCAAAGTTAGACTCCATGAACTACTCAGACTGAACCTTTGTTTGAAGCCTATACCACATAAATCTATACTGTAATTTGTTGATGACGGTTTTGACTGAACCTTATGTCACTTACATCTAAGAATTCAT